AAAAAAAAAAAAACAACACCAAAAAAAAACCGCTAACACTTACCGTATGTGGGTGGCACTGCTTGGGAAGGTTGACAAGCCTAATTTCCCTCAATGTTCACCATAACTGCAAAGTTAGCTTCTTAACCCCACTTTATACCTGTGGAAACAGGCTTGGAGGCCAAGGGAGTAGAGATCTGGAATATGAATCCCTGCTGGCCTCATTTCTGGGGCTCCACGCTCAGTGACTGCAGCGTGACCTGCCCTCGGACTCACCCATGGTCCCCGTGAAGATATGCTCAAGGGACAGAAATCCAGCCTTTTCTCCCAAAGTGATTTGGAAGGTGGACCTCATGCCACCCTCCAATCCTCAGACACATTAAATTCTCCTCTCTGGGCCTTGGCATTTGCGCTTCCCTCTGCTTGGAAAGCTCGGGCGCCAGAGCTGGCACCCGCTCCTTAAGCAGGCGCCTCAGTGTGAGGCCATCCTTCCCCCTCTGCCTGCTGTAGTCCAGCCCTCCCTTTATTTCCTTCTTCTCACTTCCAATGTGCCATTACATCGTATTTCCTTTTTAAAAACCCACCCTTCCATCTGGACTTAAGCTTTAAGTAGGGGCCATTGACATGGGCTGTGCCTGCCTTCCCATTTCCTTGCTTCTCCTCCCACTCTGTGCCTAGTCTAGTAAAGCCAGAGTTGAGCAATTGTGTTGTTTTTCAGGTACACTCTTTTTTTTGTGTAATTGGTGTAGAAGATGATTTATTGTGTACCTACTACATGTGCAGCAGACACATTAATGGGTGCTTCCAGGACAACAAAAGATCACGAAGGGCACCGATTGGCAGGCTCGGAGTCTGAACTTCATTCTCTAAGCCATAAGGGGCCCTTGATGGTTCTTGAGAAGGAATGTGCCAAGATTGGGGTTGTACTTCAGGAAGATTGTGCGGCGGCAGAGTTTTACGAGGGGTGACAGAGCAGAGGCTGGAAGTCTAGTCCAGGGCCTTAAACTTTAATGTGTGTGTAGATCAGTGGGCATGCTGTTGAAACGCAGATTCTGATCCAGTAAGCCTAGGCTGAGCCCAGGTCTTCTGCGTTTCTGACACACTCTTGGGTGATACTGATGCTGCAGGTCTGCAGCCCACAATTTAAGTCCCATGGATTTGAGGATAGTTCATTAATCTAAGTGACAGGTAATGAGAACCTACCTGACTTAGGACTCCTAAGTGGCCAAGGCCCAGTGGCTGATCAGGCAGATAGCCAAATATTTATTGACAGAAAAGAGAAATAGACTTTGGCCACTTTGGTAGGTATTGATCAGAAAAGACTTGCAGTTTGACAATAGTAACCAAAAAATGAGCACGAGTTTATGTTTCCCCTTAAAACAAGAAAAAGCCTGTTTTCTGGCATTTGTTTGCGAGGTCAGAGTCTCTTAGGCCTGTGATCCTTGTGATCATGAGACTCCAGCCATTGCTTCTGCAATCCAGGCAGAAAGGAGCAGAAGTAAAGGGGGGAAACATGTTCCGGCCCTAGAAGTATGCCGCCTCTGAACGACTTTCTAGAAGCCCTATATTACCATTGGTCACCAGTGTCTGCAAGGGAGGATGGGAAATGTTTGTGTGTTTCCATCAGATTCATAGCCATGGGGACTGAAGTCTTGCTCTGATGTGAGCCTTGGCATTTGGGTTACTTCAGCCAGAGGAGGAGACACCTTCTTCTGGTCCACACAAAAACACTGATTCTGGCTCACCTGGGATAATGTTAACAGCAGCTTCCGTACTCGACATGTATTATTTCATCTAATTATTCTAGCCAGATGTAATAGATACTGTTACAGTTCCATCTCTGCACATCAGGCCCTGAGAGGTTAAGTCATTGGTTCAAGCTTTCAAGGATCCCTGGTGGCACAGGGGTTAAGCAATCCAGCTGCTAATTGGAAGTTCGGTGGTTTGAACCCAGCAGCCACTCTATCTGCTCCCATAAAGATTACAGCCCAGGAAGCCCTGTGGGACCATCGAGCTCTCACCTGGGGTCGCTGTGAGTAGGAATGGACTCGCAATCACCCAACAACACATGCCGGAGCTGAGGTCCCAGGCAGAAGTCTGCCTATAGAACCTGCACTCGTAATCATCACACATACGGCCCCTTCCTCTGTACTGCAAAGGACGTTGCTGAATCTGCCGACACAAAACAGACTGTCAAAACAAGCTACCTACCCATGGTCACGTTCTCAGAATTACAGCCCACTAAGATAAGTAAGAATCTTTTAAAACAATCTAATAGAATATTGTACAAACAGACTCACTTGCGTGAGTGACAGGCGGAACTGGTCTCTTCTCACTTGGAAGGCATGACCTTTTCCTCTTGGTGTAAATATTTCTATAACATTGGTTTTAGTCTGACATTGGGCAAGGCACTCTTGGACTCTCACGTGTTCTCGTTTACAAAAGAAGACCTTGGGTCTCAGCTTTGAATTTCAGAGTAAATAGATGCTCAATGGTTTTGCAATCCCAAATAGGTAAAGATTTAGTATTTTAACATTTTTAAATTAAAAGATAGAGAGAGAAAGAACACAAAAGATGAGGCATGGATCCCTTTGGGATTTAAGATTTTGTTTAGTCATTTGCCTTGAACCCAATAGCAGAAGCAGCAGCAGAAATTCTGTAAATCATTGCTCTCTCAGAATGTATACATCTGCTGCTGTCGTGCGCACCATTTGCTCAATGAATTCATGCTTAAGGAAAATCGATCAGCACTTCATTGGCCAGTGTCAACTTATTTTACTTTGAGTGTTTCTAGGAAGCTCCAGGCAAGAATTTAAAATTCTTTCCTAGGTACCCAGTTGTGTTCCTTCTCAAAGCAAAATACCTCTATGAGATTTTTTTTTTACCTGAAATAAACATTTCCAATTTGCTTATAACCAAAGTCATACCTTTTTGTGCACAGAAAAGTAGGGATTTCCCAAGTCTGGTTGTTTCACATCTTGAAATTGGCAATGCCAGTGATAGTGGAAATCCTGACAGTTCAGAGGCTCTGGTTGGCATGACTTGGCAGGTACTGTCGAGGCCATGAGTGCCATGATCATGGGGCCAGCTTGACTACCATCTCCTATCCAGACTCAGTTGTCTGCCAAGATGTACCCAATCCGCCCATGGATATATTGAATTCCAGGTTACAGGGC